AATTGTATAATACATATGCACATATAGATTTAAAAAAATGGTTCTTTCTGTTGATTTGCTTGGTATTTAATGTGATGATTTCTGGTCTTGTTCCCTATACTAAGAAAACCTGAATTATTAACAGTTAGACAAAATGAAAAAAAAGTGCAGGATTATGTTTCTGCATTTTTGGCCAGGCTCAAATTACAAATTGTAGGAACATGTCATAGAATCCATCTGCTTTGAACTCCCTGAACATAGAATAGCTGGAAAAAGACAAGTTTGCCTCATTGAGTATTGAAACAGCGAAGCATCTAGAAGATCACAGAGGGGAAGGGGAAAGTTGATTGCAACCTGAATATAGACAGCTGCATATAAAACTTTCTTTTTCTTTTCCACCTTAGTTCAAAGTAGTCAAAATTCTTCTGACAACAACTGAGGAAACTTCTTTCTGAGCACTTGTACTTCTTCTGAAGGAACATCTGTTGTTTGTGTGTGCCAAGCTTCCATCACATTCATAAAATTGCAAATATAAATATGCCATGTACTAATTTTTATGTTTCATCTCAGGAACACAAAAAATGTAACCCTTTTCTGAAGGGGAAAAAAACATATCTATTCATCTTTTACAGACATGGAAGAACAAGCAGTGTTAGTCTCTCCAAGAAATCCTAGTTTTTAATGATTTCTGGATGTTGAACTATTATGGGAAGATAACTTCTAGCATGACCTGAGGCCACTTCACAGTTCAGCTTTCCTTATCTTCTGGTTTTGTTCTACACTTCAGCACAGTTTTCTTTCTTTCAAACAGTGAGCCAGAAAAAGAAAAGCAGTTAAATTCAAGTTAGGGGGAGAGCAATATTTTTGCCTGGCTGTTGTTCGGTTATAGATGGTGCATTACACTCAGCTTTTCCTGGTGTCTCTGTGGTGTGTGTGTGTGTTATATTTGTGTATATATTTTAATTATTTCTCAAGTCCAAATATATTTAATGGCAAGGAATGTGGATGTTCTGGAAAACCAAACTTGGTATCGAAGGGAATGGAAGGCTGTAAACAAACCATTGAATGTACTAACATGCATTGATGTTGGCATGCTAACAGACTGTATTCTATTTCAGACTCTTGGCAAAAACAGAAACCATGTCTAAAAGGCTGGGCTGGGCGAATAAAAGTTCTTCTTGGCCCACCCTCTGCACGGCTTGGCTAGGAGCCAGCTGTGGTTCTTCAACCATATGGCCACATGGGCTCGGTGACGGGGCCGTGCGAGGAAGCCTGTCATCCAAGGACAGGCGTAGCCGTCCTCCCTGCGGTGTCACCCTGAAAACTCACGCTGAGCCATTCACCCTCTCATCACTTGGTTTTCATTCTGCTCTTCCCTTACTGCCCCAGCGGGACTGCCCCATTTTCTAGCACAGGCCTCCTTCTCTTATTTGTGTGTGTGTGTGCGCGTGCGCTCCTGTGCAATATGTGATGTTAAAAAACATATTGTTTAAATGGACCCACCGCGTATCACCCCGACGTGATCCAGGCTCCTCTGTGCCTTGCACCAGACTGTTCCGAGATGCCAGGTGATTAGTCATCCTTATTTGTCATTTACAAGCCTTAGCAGTGGCTGTTGCTTTATATTTACTTCTAGAACATTACTAAAAAACTGGCAATGTTAAATTTGAAAGGATATTGTTCAGACTCTTCTAGAGAGCCCATTTTGAGGTTTCCTGTTGACTAATTTCTGTAACTTTCTCTGCAGTTACCCAGCCTTACAAGCTATGTCACGCATGCTCCTTTAATCACTCACAGCAACAACTGATGCTGGTAGTAAAGAGGAGAGAGAGAAGCATAAGCATGTTTAACAAGGGAACTGATACAGAGCTTATATAAGTACTTAGTTGGGAGGTTTATGGTAGAGATTAGCAATATGTTTCACTTGGCTTTGTGAGCTTGTGCATCTCATTATCCATTTTCTCTAAGATACTCATTTCAAGTTTCTGTTTTATGAAGTTTGATCTGTTTTCTCTGTCTTAAGTATACTAATTTTTGTATTATCTGATAAATTCATTTCAAGTATATGAATTTGGTGAGAGTATCAGTTGTGGTATCCTCTTCCTGCCTAAGACAGTTGTGAAACTCTACTAAACATATTTTAACTTTTCTGGGTTTTTAAAACTATTATTTTTATTTAGCTTGATGGTCACTGTTAATCAAATCTGTATTGTTTTTCCTAAGGCGTGTTCTGTCTGTAATGAATCCTTCTTTCTGTCCAAATATTCCATATCACATGAAAATCGTAGAATCACAGAATCCTTAAGGTTGGAAGAGACCTTTAGAGATCATCTAGTCCAAACCCCCTGCACACGCAGGGTCACCTAGAGCACGTGGCACAGGACTTCAAAATAAGCTTGTCTTGTAATTGTTGTCCTTGACTGCTGAGTCACTTGAGAGTGTTACATAGAAACTTGCCTGATGCTATGCTGAATAATTTGTCTGGCTTTAGGAAACATAGCTTATATAGGCTTATGAAATGTAGCTCTTACTCCATAATAAGTCTTTTTCTTTTCTTCCTCACTTTGTTTGACTGACTGGTTATAAATGAATATTTAGCTGCACCATTTTCCTAACACTCTTCAAGTTCTTCCAAAGAATTTGGATTATCTTTTGGATAACTCAGCATTAACTGCAGTTCTTCGCAAGTCATAACTCTGGCCTCTGAAGTGACACATCAAAATAAGTTCTTTGTCCTTTTATCATTTATCAAGTATTTTGGAGTGCAACTGTTAGAAAAGGACTTGACTCGTCTATTTAATATTTACATAAATTGCTTTATTCTGTCTTCTGAGGCCTTCAAAATAATGACAAATGTTCCTTCAAATAAAGCAAAATCTGCTTTTAGATTCTATTTTCTCCTCCCTGCTCCACAGAGGGAGGTTTATGCTTGAAGTAAAACCACATTCTGCTTCTGGGTAGGCCAGATGCAGAAAAAAGTCGTGGGAAGTGGATGATTCCAAGAGCAGTTTCCCAATTTGGGTGGAATTTATGTCTTTTTCTTCTGACTCAGTAGTGAGTTCAGTAACTCACTACTTAATTCAAAGCTTAACACTTTAGAGGTGGTGCTAGCTGTAGTGCAGGCGGGTTAGCCCAAAGAATGTCACTGCACTCGAAGACCCGTCAAAATCCGCTGAAGCAAATCAGGACTTTTCTGTAAGAGGAGCTCAGTGGTAAAACTTTATTATGAGCTGCTTTTGTTGTTCAGGCTTATTAAGCATCTCTAGATTCTCTGCATTAATGTTCTCAAGCATATGTCCTCGAGCAATTTTCCTCAGTTGTCCATCTTGCCTTCTTGCCAGCTCAGGAAAAATACTAGGTACTTTGCCAAGTTTAAAGTGAAGCTTTTGCTTTGGAGAGGAGGGCAGCCAAGCTCCAAATAAGCTGGGGAAAGATAACGTGTCCTGCTTACAGAGGACGCTGCATCGTGGAAGGAGAAACATGCAGATATCTTCCTTTCCAGAAGGAAAGGGCTATTCCAAAGAGGTGGCATAAGCAATTGGCAGTTAGTACAACAGAGAAAGCACCCAATTCTCTTGGATGTATAATAAAGTACTGTTATTTTAAGATGTGACAATGGGATCTTTTTTTTCCACGTGGATGCTTAAACTGAGAGAGTGAGGATTCTGGTCTTATCTTTTTCATGAAGAAGCAGAAAGCCTTGATGCTAGTAAACCACAAAAAGGTTCACTGAAATAGCTGACCTCCTAATTATATAAGAACAGTTATATTCTGATACTGGATAGAGGTCTGCAAAAGAGAGCTTACCTTTTCAGCAAAGCATTTCATAGCATCACAATCAAAGTCAGTAAAGTTAGAACTGACCACCGACATATTATTCTGCCAGTGAAATGCGTGCCTTAATAAGCAGTCACCTACTGGCCAGTGTTGTTAAATTAGCCCTGCTGGGACTGAGGAGCTGGACCAGATGACTTGCTGTGTCCCTTCCATCCAAACTATCCTGCAATTCTGCATATTCATTTCTCTATCTGGGATCCTCCCTAAGGAATGGTAATGTCATATTTAAGATAAGTAAAGAAAAAAATACAAACATTAAAATATAAAATTAAGGAGCTGAAATTGAGTTTATGACACTATTCATCAACCAGGAATTTAAACTTTTTCATCTTTTGAAAATGACATTGTAAATTTGAAGGAAGCATGGGGCAGTAGTTTGGGTGGCTTCACTTTCTCCCCCACCCTCTGTATTACCCTTAGCACAGAATCATAAACATTTAGTCCATGCCAGAGTCACCATCCTGGGGATATTTCATCTTGCAGCTTCCACTGAAGGTTAGTAAACAGGCCTTTAACGGTCCCCATATTAGAGGTAGAAAGATGCCATCTGTGCAGACAGCAAGAGCTAGCTCTGAAAACCCATGTTGGACAGTCTCTCTGATTCTGCAAGCCCTCTCTTCCTCCCCATCATGCCGCTTTGTGTAGGTTATACGGTGTATATGCACAGTATCAGAAACTGTTTGCTGGAGAGCATACTTTCTTAAAGGGCTTGTTTGACTGCAGTGTGGTCACTACTTACCAGCTTCTTAAAGCTTTATGTATATAATTGAGCAGAGTGTAAAAACAAAAAAAGGAACAAAAAGTATGTTTTTTTTAACTCCAAAATGAAGAATCAATCATTATTTCCTAAAGAGATTTATTATTTTCTTCCATGAATTGTATTTTACAGTAATCTGTTTTATCAGTGTTTGCAAATGCAAAGGCAACGTTGAAAATGAAGTGCATCAGAGCATGAAACTTCCTCAGTGGAAAAAATACTTCAATATTTTGGCTGTTCTGTTGCAGCAGGGGTATCAAAATTAAAATCCCGAATTACTAAGTTACCCACTTGAGTGCTCATACATCCAATTTTTAAGTGGATTATTTAAAATTGGATTTAGAAATTAAAATTAATTTAAATTGATTAGATTGAATTGAAAAGGCTTCTGTTGGAAAGTAAATCATTCAGTGTTTTTGCATTTCAGGTAACATTCAAGGAGCAACAATAGTGGATGCCCTTGATACACTCTACATCATGGAAATGAAGGAAGAATTCAAGGAAGCCAAGGAGTGGGTTGAACAAAACTTAGATTTCAATGTGGTAAGTAGCATCGTTGATTAACACTTAACGCTATGGTTAGTATCCAGGGACCACCTGAGGACTGGGTTCTAATATTGCAGAAGCTATATGAGGCTACAGAATTTAGACTGTTTATAGAGAAAGTACAAAAGGAACAGGTGCGAAGAACCATAGGAAGCAGAAGTAATAAAGTTACTACTCTTCTTGTAGGTACTTTTGAGAGATTTAGATATAAGTAGGTGAGACTCAGTTGAATGGAACAAAGAAAGAGCAGAATAGTACTTACTAATTACTTACTATAAAATGAAAAACAAATGTTTCCGCTATTTTGGATGTAAGCGCTTTTTTTGGGGGGGGGGGTTATGCAAACATTTTGTATTTGTTTTCCACAAACTAGACTTACAATCTTACAATTAGGGAAAACTAAATGTCATAAGTGTCAGTTCAACTCCTTTCTGTGTTCTAATGAAGTGAAGTTGAATCCTGTGGGCTAGGTTGAACTAGGTGGCACAAACTGAGTTGCTTTAGTCACATGAGGCCATGGGTCATCATAGCTGCATGGAGAATTGATCCATTGCTCTGAGAAACAGGCAATTTGAGAGCACAGTTCATTTGTAAAGCTTTTATTCTAGAAATGCCTTGAAGAGAGTAAAAATTAAATTGCTTAAACTTAAATTTAGAAGATTTGGTTTGGGTCCTTTTTTCCCCTTTTTGACAAGGGTATATATTTTAATTGGGGGGCACAAAAGTGAAAATTAATTCTCTTGTGTACTTGAGAATTAATTATTTTAGGAGAAGGAGTTAAGAGTGGATATTATATAGTTTATATAAGCAACAATTTAGTGTGTATTTTAACTTAAATACAGGACTTTGAACTGTATTTCTGAGCATTTTCAGATGTCTGAAAGACATGCTAACTTTATCTTCAGTTTATCTTGAGCTGAGATTTTTTTCAAAGGAATTTTTGTAGTACTGAATTTCCGTTTTATTAGCATAGCATTAAGATCTTTTAAAAAAAAGAAAGAACCAAAAAAGCAAACACCGCATTAAAGGAAAAGCTGAACTGTAGTTGAGGGGACATTATAAAGCTCCATAGTGATTTACATTAATAAAATTTAAATTTTTGGTTTTACACATAATCTTGCCCTGCTGTATGCTGCAAACTTCTACCTGTGGATGGTATTGCCTACAATTTCCATTCATCAAGTTTATTTATATGCCGTTTTTAAAAACTATGCAACATTTAATTGTATATGATAAAAAAATAGTCATCCTAAATGTGTGAAATACTGTATTACATTAATTGATAAATGCAGTGATCAAAAAGATTTACCGAAGCTTGTTTACAGATAATATTGACATGCATCTGAAGCAACAGTCAGTCAGTGTATTAAATAGCTGCCTTGAGCTCAATACCTCACAAAATTTATTTGCTTAATACTTTATTTGTATTAGTCGTATAGAATTGAATTCTATACTGGCATCAATACTAACTAAATTAACTTTCCTGAAGTAAAATGAGGAAATAAAATGAACAGCCGTAACACCAACTTTAATAATCAGCATCATCTTGTCTTCTTAAATTAGCTGAATTTAACTTGTTGGAAGCTATTCAACTTCTATTCAACTCCTCTTTAGTTTTCCATATTAGACATAAGTTCTAGTTTAAAATGCTGCTTGTATCTGTATCTTACATTTTAAAGCTGGAGATTACTCAATACAAGACGCAGCAAGCCCTGGCTCCTTTCGCACCACATCATTCTCCTTACCTAATGATAAAAGCTTCCAAAGTTCAGCTTATAGCTTAGCCATTTGCTTATAAAGATGATGTGACAAGTGAATGGTGCCACGTTAGTAATTCTTCATGTGATGAACTGAGGGATTGAATCCAATAAATTAGTTGTTGAATATTACTTTTAATTATTTCTGAAGAAGGCGAGTTGTGTTGTTTTAGGAACTACGGAAATTGCTCTCCCTTGATGCCTCGCTGACATTTTGGCCAACTTGGTTGAGTAATTTTTCAAGAATTAATGAGCCTCCTCTGGTTCTTTTGCTCTTTTAAGTGTTTTAGCCCCAGTGGAAATAGACTGGATATCTAGCAGCAACAAAATCAACAGTCTTTTCATCATGAACCTGTGCTTTTTGTTTTGCATGGTATTGCTTCCTGTGTGTTCAGCTCTCTTTTTGATCCTGAGCAGTTCACAGAGCTGAGGACCCAGTCTGCCCTCTCCACACGTGCCGCTGCCTGCGTGCTGGTTTTGCAGTGTTTGTGCATGATGCTGCCCAAGGCTGCCTGGCGCCGGGTGACTACCAGCACCGCTGCTGAGAAAAGGCAGCCTGTCCTCCACAGGATCACGAGGGAATTTGAGTGTTTTTCCTAGCTGCAACTGCACGTTGCTGTGTGATTCTGTGTTTCCATTTTTTTTTTCATCATTTGCTTTAGGAAGTGTGCACACACCAAGCATTCAGTGTTTTCTTAAAAGACTTGCTGTACCACTGCCCAACCACTGCTTCACACTGGGCAGGGCAAAGCTGTCAGACTTGCTGCATGTAGGGTAAATGAGTTGATACTTAGAAGGAGAGTTGGAAAAGGGTTTTTAAAGAAATGGGTAAAAGGGTCAGAATCAAGTAAAGAGTAGCAGAGTAGCTGAGCCATTTGGCACACCACTGAAAAACTAAAGTTGCTGGATACTCTATTTGACAGTCTTTGGCTTCTGCACACAGACCCCACTGCCCAATTTCTTTAATACAAGCCTAGCCCATGTGCCCAAAGCCTCCCCACAGTGTGCGGCAGGAGCTGGCGACTGGCGAGGAGGAGGAAGGGGCAGTGCTAGCATGGGAAGGCACAGAGCTGCCTGCAGGTTTGGGTTTGTTCTTCCTCTCTGTTGAGACAGCGCTATAGAGGTCCCTTCCAAACCCAACCATTGTGTTGGGTGACCTTGTGTGACTAGTGGCAAAAAAGGTGAGATTGGTTGGAGAAGTCAAGAGAGAGAGAATGAGTCAATACCAGTAAAATATACTCTAGAGAGTCTCTTCTCTGGTTCTTCTGTATTCCCTTCCCTTCCTCTCCAAAAAGGCAAACTTAATGCCAGTAGAAGTCCCTGGTCTGTACTGCTTCTTAACATGTCCATGGGAGCTGTCTGGGACAAGATTGGCCCAAATCAGAGCAGAAAATAGTATCAATTAAACAAATGTGGGACAGTGCTTGAATTGATACACTGGTCTGTTGATCTTCTTTTGTGGTAGAGTCAGACAGAACCAGGGTGAGGACAAGGTACGGGTTTGGGAAAGAGAGAAATGGTCACATCCTCTAAAAAAAATTCTCAGAGCTGAATTTAGAAACCAGGACACTTGAATAAAATAATTTTCCTGTTTGTTAGTGGCTTTTGCTTTGTTTGCCTCATTCCTCTGTATTTTTGGCTGAAATGGAGGATGGCAGGAAGTTATGATTGCTTAGTCAGAGGGAAGTAATAGTGGACTGTGCTCTACCTGTGTGCATATAATTGAATCGGCTTTAATTGGCATTTTGTGCACGCACTGAGTTGTGCATTATCTAATCATAGATTCTTTATTAACTACACAGGATGAATCCACCTAGAAAATAGTGGATGTTAGGCTGTAGAGAAACGATGAAAAGCTTTTGCTCATTTGTTGTCAAAGATGGGTGCTAAGTGGATCAGAGAACTGTGTAAAGAGAAGGGATGAATAAGGCAGCAAGGATAAGTTAAGACTTGTCTCCTGCCAGTACTCCTGAGCAAAGTTGCTTACAGAGATCAGTCGCTGCATCGAAGCCAGAAAACTTATTAACTGCTTCTGATATTTATCTTTGTACTTAGCTTTGCAAATGTAAGTATCTTTTAAAGTAGCTTTGTACACAGCTTCATACAACATAGATGTGTTGCATATATTATGTCTGCTTTCGAAGGGGCTTAAGATAAAATGGAAAAAATGCAGACAATTGATATTGAAGTTACATTTATATCTGTTGTCTTATATAGATTATTGTTTCCCTTTTCCAAGATCTCCAAATTCTAAATGCCTTTTGGATCTAATCGACAGTGCTTCCAGCATTTATTATTAATCATGCTGTAGTTCAAATCTGTCTGTGGTGTGGCAGTCAGTAACAGGGACGGACTTCTAGACTTCTTTGAATTCTTCTAGAATTATTTCAAGCTTAGAAACATCTAAGAGCAGCTCTGAGCCCTCCTGCTCTCAAACTGTAGATACTGTGATTCAGTTGTAATCATTTTTAGCAGTCCATAACTTAGTGCTCTGGCTTGGGAACAGATAGATTTTGGCACTTCATCTTTTGTGGTGGGTTTTTTTTTCCCCTCTCTTTAAGCAAAATAAAAATGAAAAAAGAAAGTTTTCTAATACTTATGATAAGACAGCTTTCCTAAATAAAGTGTGTGGGAGGTGCAAGTAAATTGCCTTCACATAAATAAATATATAATAGCTCTGTGAGGCAAGTTAGGGAGCCAGCACTAGAAAGTGAAAATTGTTCTTTAATTTGTGGGACTATTTTTTTACTAGTATTTTCCAAAGTGGACTTGTTAGTACATTCTAAATAATAGACATCAAAGTGACTTCATCTTACATGGATTATAAGAATAAATAATAAACGATTATGATGGGTTAAAGGGAAATTTTGAGTAAATTTATTACTAAATGGAAATCTTTTTCTGCTAGAGTTGGTCAGTACCATCTGTAGCACTTCATTTTTGTGCTTGTTTTCCTTTTAAGGTTTTACAGTTTGCCATGTGAGGATTTCAGTAAGTTTAAATAACAGGAGTTGCAATAACTGGGCTTTTAAATTTGCAACCAAGCTTGCTAAAAGTGCTTCCCATATCACTGGGCTTTTAAATTTGCAACCAAGCTCGCTAAAAGTGCTTCCCATATCATTAGGAACTGAATATTGTAAGATACTGCTGCTTAATTTCATTTATGTAATGTGAATTAAATTTATATTTTCCACTACTGCAAGTATTTTAAAAGTAACTCAATTAAAATAGCTTAAAGAAAGCTTGTAGTAATCTTCATATCTCTATTCTACACTGCTTGATAAGGCCTAGCTTTTTTTTTGTTTGTTCCCAGCGTTTGCGCTTAATGGGAGTTTGATATTTTAGGTTCTTATATGACCATTTTAATTCTGTGAAGAATTATGGGCATTATCCAGCATTACTCAGTATTATTTAATACATGTTTCCTGGATTTGTTTTACACATTTTTGTTATGGCTCTCTGTGGAGGAAGGTGGATTAGCCATGCCTGCAGGATATAAGCTGTTTATGATGGTACAGTATGATACACAGGGGAGGGTATTGCTACATTCTTGGTATATATAAACACTAGGTGGAAATGGAAATAAGGTGACTGAAATTTATTGCACTCTTGACAAGACAAGTGCAGGAGAACTGGAGAAAAAAAAAGATCTGGAATGAATCTGTACAGTAAAGAGGACTGAAATTGTTTGGTGGGAATGGAGCCTTATTTGGAACTTTATAAAGACTAGAAGAGTACATTTTTTTTGTCAAATATAAATTCAATTGCTTCAAGTACATTATCCACATAAAGAGCATGCAGTGTTTCCTCCAACTGAATTATGAGTAGCAGAGCAAGAGCTGGTGAGTGCCTGGTGGAAGCTGATACTAGATAAATAAAATTGTATTAAGTGTTGCATGTATGACCAAAGATGACTTCCCGTGAGAAGACAGATGGAAGTTGTTTTGGCCTTTATTTAGGAATTTGTGGAGAGGAAAATTTTCAGGAAAGAGGTGTACTAGGGAAATGACCCGGAAGGGTAAGAACACTGATGTTTCGGAAACTGGAGACATCCGATAGGACGGATGCCTCCAGAGAGCCCAGTGACAGTAACTTGGTCTGAACATTGCTTTAGGCATCAAATTTAACCACAGGTGGCTGAAACGTCTCCGAATTATCAATTGAGAATTTCATCTTCAGAAGCTAATAAGGGAGACCAGATGAAGTTCCATTAAGTGGCTGTAGTGTTGCTCCTACAATTCCACATAATGCTACATATATTACTTCTGATTTTCTATTTCTGTAAATATAATGACAGACAGTCATAATTTCTCCTAATTTTGAATCATACTTGGACTTTTTAAATGGACTACCATTTGTGATTTACCTATTGTCAAATAGTAGAGGATAAATTGTTCATCAAGTATATGATGAAAGACCAAGTTATCCACATACTACAGTTAACACCAAAACCTTGAAAGTAGAACAACAATATGTTGTTGCCAATATGCATACCAGTTTCTCAAATATCCATGTATATGCAGAATGTGTAGTGAAAGGAAGCCTTGCAAAATCAGCAGCTACAGCAAGATGTTTTTGCACAGTAACAAGAAGACATTATCACAAACAGGTGCTAATAGAAGATGTTTCGGATATTATACACAGCATGTGTTGATGAAATCCAAGTTGGGCTACTGATAAAAGGACAGTGAAATTAGAGAGATTATTTGTAATAATAGAATGGTTATGGTTGGAAGGGATTTTTGGAGATCATCTAATCCAAGCCCCTGCTCTTGAAGCAGGATGAACATCCAATTGGGCTGAGCCAGCTTCCCTGGGATATTACATACAAACATTGTGGTTACTTTAAAATAAGAGTGTCCAGCACTTCTCCTTAGACAAGTTGCATTAGATCTAATGGAAGTAATGGAAGTGTTTCTCAGACCTGCTATGTAATATAAAATGTAATGTTTGAGTTAGCAGGCTAACCTTGGCATTTTTTTTAAAATAAAAAATAAAAAAATAAAAAGAACTGTAGCTGCAGCTGGTGAAGTAAAAGTAGAGACTTTGGGGGATGAAGATAAAGATTTTTCCTATATTTTGGCACTGCTAAGCTAATCATAAGATATTTGTGTATAGTTGGGTTTGACAGCAAAACCAAAATAATATTCCATATTTGACACATGTTTTTTGAATAGAAATTAAGAGATTTATTTGTGCAAAACTTTGAGGATCATGATTTACAAATATGAAGGGAAGGTAATGGGCAGGACAAGGCATCTTAAATGTGCAATACAAAAAGCTATAAAGCTATTAAAAACTAAATTTCAGAAAAAAGGGTAAAGTAGATGTAGCAGTAATATACTTCTTTTAGGACACACCCACTTTCCTTAACAGACTACTTTCTAATAAAAACTTTCCTTGTAGAGATGAATGAGTCTCTGACATGAAATTATTAAACTTCTTCAGATATTTTACAAGTTACTATAATCTGGGCACTTTCCCAGAATGATACTAGCCTGGTATAATGAGTTTAGGAATACCAATCCTCTTAAACATACAGCTTTCAAATATACACTTAATGAGATGTCTGTCCACTTCATTCATTGCATGTGCTTCAGTGGCTTGTATAAAGATTTTAGTAGGAGCTGAGAATTTCAAACAAGGCTTCAGAGATGTGTGCAAGTGAAGTACTGGAAATCTGATAATATTAAAGCAATGAGTACCTTCAAGAAATGACCTGAAAGATCATCATTTCAGCAGCCATTCAGAATTACAGTGGAGTTAATTTTGGTGGGTTGATAGTAAAATCTTTATTCTCATATTACTTCAAAGTGTTTCTTTTGTCTTGTACCTGAATTTTGAGAATAGATGTCAGTGCATATATTCTGAGCTTATCTTAATGAGCCTTTGAATTCATTGAAGGCTAGAAATGCTTTGTGAGTCATCTTAAATCCAGACACATGAAATGTAAGGATCTTGATAATGTGAGATTAAAAATATTCAGTTGAAGAGCTTTTCTACCACTGGATTTACTTCAACAAGCAATTCAAAATCGAAAACTATTTTAATTCAGTCATTATAGAAAACACATAGAAATCAAGTATTCCCCATCCTTCCCCTTTCTCCTCTCTATTGGGAGAGGACCTAGTATAGAGAGACAGCAGAATTTTGATACACTTAAAATTATCTTATTGGAAAAACCTGGCATGTTCTGAATAGTGTAGTACCACTAGCAAGATGCCCTTTTTGGTTTGCAGTCCTACCACTGCTTATCGGAGCTATTATTCTATGGTTTAAATTATATTTCCATTTTTTAAGGGAGGGAATCAACACAAAAGATTTTAAGAATTAAAAAAAGGGCTTAAAAGTTAGAATCTAAGGCAAAGTAGCAAGCACTGTAGAAAGCCAGTATGTGTGTCTGAAGTCTGTAGCTTTCAGCATAATGAATCACTGATCAATCCTCTATAATATGTCTGGAAACCTTTACTTAATCAGAGTGGATTGAAAATTGGCAGGCATGAAGTAGTACCTTTAATAAGTTATCTAGAGTTGCTTAGGAACTACCTAAAAAGGTATTTGGGTAAAATGAAAAATTCACCCCCCCAAAATGGGAACAGACAGACTCTTCCTTTCTATATAGACTTACATTTAAAATGGAGAAGAGTACAAAAAATAGCTGAAAGAAGTAAAAAAAAACTTTAAGTCCTTTGGAAGAACATTCTACAGCCTCACCATGCATTGATTTATGTTGGATATAGCTATAGTGTATGTCAGCAAATACAAAATGGATAAACAACTGGTAGCAAAAGCAACCCAGAACACATGAAAGTCAAACACCTTATTTATGTGCCGAAAGCTTAGAAGCCCAACTGCTTTGTACCAGTCTTACACCTATTTTGTGGCTGGGCTTGGAATCAACAGTAGGGAAGGGCTCACATGTATGGATTTATAGAATAATTAATATCCAAGTAGAAAGGATGCAAAGTTAGACAGGATGAGAAAAATGAAGCAGATTTTTTTTTAAGTGAGGAAGAGAAGGAAATTCTTTAAAATGCCTTAAGTTCTATAGCAATGGCTTTCCCTCCATCTACTGTGTTTTGCTGTTTATCATTGTCATAGATTAAAGTCTGTGTATTTAAAAAAAAAAAGTCTTTTTTTAGCTGAAAGGATCAGTTTATGGAAATATAATCAGCATCTATAAATGCAGTAGGTTATAAGATAGGGATTATAACTATATTTTTTTATTTCACCAGAATGCAGAAATTTCTGTTTTTGAAGTGAACATTCGCTTTGTGGGTGGACTCCTTTCAGCTTACTATCTTTCAGGAGAAGAGGTAAGATATTTTCATGTACTATTTGAAATATTATCATCTAGATGTCTAGTTACCACTTTTATTTTTTCAGAAATAAACTAAACTTCTTTGTATCTTTGAAAATTTGACTTGTCTAGCAAAGAAAGACCTCTCTGCTAGATATTCTTGTTTCTCTCTGTGCAATTGCTTTGTCTGTTGTGGGTTTTTTTTCCACTCCATTCAAATCATACCAAGTGGGTTTTGTGTTGGAATATATGATTACAAAGTGCTCACGCTGCAGCGGTGGATCTGGTGCAGTGGGTACCTGCTGCTCAGATCATCCTGGTGAATGCCCTTTTACTAATAAACTGCACCTCTGAAAAAAGAGATGTTGGCCTTTCTCGTGAGATTGAAACGTCAGCTAAAAAGAAAAGAGGGGTTAAGAAAGAAAATAACTGGTAAGCCTGTGCATGTGAATGTCCTTAGAGCATTAATCTCCAATTAATCTCTATTGCCTCCGCAGTAATGAGTTTCAAAGGTCCTATCACAATGCCTGTCATGCTTTCTGGAGAGGATGAAGAAGCAATTTTGTCTAAGAGAGTCGACTAATGCAATTATTTCTGTAATAAATTTAGAGGGGGCTACACTATCACATGTACTCTGATATCTCACATTTTTGGGTTAGCACTTAGTCTTTAATTTTTCTAAGTTAAATTCACATTCCTCGTTGATGGATTATAATAGTGTTTTCTTGTAGGAATAACACAGATTAAAACTCTGTAATCACAGGTTGAATTTAGCATTGGATTTCTCTAAATCCAGACCTATTATTTGTGCAAACTCTACAAAAGCCTGAAGTTATGTGATTTTCTTTTCTATATAAATTTCCTGAGTATTAGGTAAAGTTCTCTTTTGCCGTTGTCACTTTAAATTATCTTAAATTCTGCAGTTTATGAGTTCTTGTTAAAATTCATTACCATGTCAGAGTTACATACTTGGAAAAGCAGTTTTGGGGAGACAGTCTCTGTGATGCTTATATGTCTACACTAAACTTATCTACCTACTTCTCATGTTTCTTTTCTCAGCGCAAATAGTATAGACAAGATATAAATGTTCTAAAAGTTTTTCATATTTTAAATTACTTACAATATTCTAAAAAAAAACCCACCTTTGACCTGTTTTGAATTTACTGTCAACAGTAATGAAAAGAATTTGAGAAAGGGTTAGTAGTTCGTTTTCATATTTACTACATTTTGTTTTACCTAATGCTTTATCTTTGGCTTTTGAAGAGAATCAGTTTTCTCCCTGCATTTATTGGGCAACCGAGGAATAAGCATAAAGAAAAGCTTTTAAAGGCTCTTGCTTTCCACTAGTTATCTCTTCCACTACAGATTTACTTCTCATAAACTGTAGTGAGCTTTTTCCGTATAACCTATGGCTGAATTTTAATTAACTGGTTGTGACAGATTAGGGATTGCTTCCTGGCAAACAATGAGCTGGTAGAGGACATTAAGACCTTTAAATTAAGTGGTGACTGGCTGCCGAGAAATGCCTGCGCAATTTGTCATCAGTGCTGTTAAGTTCGTTTATATGTTGATGGTTTATTTCTTGTGTTTGTTGATGTGCAGCCTTGCTTTTAGTCAGTAGATGTAGCTTCTCCTAAATAATTCCTAGTCATTGCTTCTCAGCCACTGCTCCACCTTTAGGGAGGCAGTTTTACAACTGTCTCTTTGACTAGATTTGTAGCTGATGTTAAATAAGACTCTTTTACAAATGAAATGAGGAAGTGGCACATTTAAAACAAAAGGTGTTTCACACAATACCTAATTAAGTGGAGTTCTTTGCCACAGGGTTTTTTGACCCTTGGTGTTAATGTCAATTCTCGGTATGAATGGACTCGTTCATGGAAGGAAAATGGGCTCCTCAAAATGAAGATGAAATGTTTAAGTGAGGAGGGCCCTGAGTCCCTGTGGGCTGGAAAGATACGGTCCATGCCTGCCACTTCTTAATGCTTTCACAGACATCTACTGTCCAAGGCAGAGTGAAGGTCCAGACTTCATCTTCCTAAACTAGTAGCTGCAAGAATGCCTTAGAACATGTAAATCTGCATGCTTCCTCCTGGACCTCTTAAATTTTTCTTTTACCTTTTTCAAAATTAGGGAAACTCTCTCCTTAATACAAAAGCAGTGACCAGCTGCTGAGCAGAGGAAGGCTGGGTGCAGCTCTTCTGATGACAGAGCACGTGGGCAACGGTGTGACACCCCCTTGCTGCATAAGCCTGTCCCTCACTGGTGCTCTTACAGGGTGGCAAGGACTTAAGCCCCAGCGTCTGGCTGCCCACACAGAAAGTATATTCTCCTTCGTCTTTAATCCCTTTTATTAGTGGGCCTCCCTAAACATTTGGAACAGTCTGTGTATAGGTCATCTTTCTCAGCAAAATGTTCATAATACTCTCTATCAGATTACCTATTTAGCAATTTATATTTGCCATGTTCACTTGTCAGTATCCTAGTTGAAGAAAGCAATGTTTCAGTAAAAGGAGTGACAAAAATAATTGTTTGTGCTTCTGAATTACACTTCTGTGGTTAATGATGCAAAGCTGCACCATATTGCACCATATATCCCATAATCATTTCTAAGTCTAACTAATCATGACTAGAGAATATTCTGTTGTACTGGGAAAATGCTAAAACGTTGTGCTCCATAATAGTTCATTCAATAAAGGCACCAATGTGACTAATTTAAGAAAGGAGCAAATGGAATATTTTGCCTGCTGATAAGTATGTGCCGCTCACTTTCAAATAGAGCTACGAGCTGCTTTATTATTAAACTTGCTAGAATTTGTGTCTTACTGGAATTAATTTAAACTGTATAAAAGTCCTAGAACAGCGTCATAGATTTTACATCACTTCTTTTAATGATTTGGCTTAAACGCAAACTAGAAAGAATTCCAGTCAAATACCGAACTTCAGTTGTAAAATTGCTACACAGAGCTTTTCTTGAAACCAGGTTTTCTGTTTTCTTGCGACTTGGTATGACCTTATGCATATTTACACTGTAAAGTAAGATACCTGGTAAAAAAGAAGAGTGTTAAGAACTGCTCTGGTATTTTCCAGTCTGATTTCTGGTATGCAAGAAGGAGTTGAGAGCATTGTCTACAAGTTCCCCTCTTCTGAAAAATACTGAAAACAAGTTCCTCTCTCCTATTTTTTTTTCCTCTTGTTTGTAACACATTTCCATATGCAGTGCCACCTTTGGAGGAAAACAACATTATGTCCTCAAACAGCAGCAAAGTCATGGAGATGACATGAACAGAAAAAAAGAATCAAATTTTGTCCTCTGTTTGTTTGATAGTTGGTTCTTATAGGTGCCATTAAAATTACTTTCACTATATAATAGCAGGGGCTGTCTTACTGAAGGCAGGTTCTGCAGTCAGGTGTGTTGCATAGGCAGAAATGGAAGGAGTTTTCAAAGGCAGTTAATGTTTGTATTGTTTTTTTCCACATCATGAAGCAGAAATGTGACAGGATTTTTTACTCTGATACTATATTCGGTTGAAGGAATGGGAATTTACCCTGATCAGGATGAAGAAAAAGTACATTTTTCCTGTTGATAGCTATCGGACTCCATGAGTTTCATAGATTGTTCTCTACTAACTTTTAATCAAAGCAAAAAGTGAAAAAGTGATTACATGTCACTTACTTAGGAATATCCGTATTTAGAATAGGGGTTGCAGTGCAATTTTTCGACCTTGCTTGATGATTTTGGCCTCCTGTCTGGCTTCAGGCTTAATCATTGCCCACTTAAAGCAGCCATCTATCAGTGATGATAGTGCTGTCTTATTAGTGAGAGGCAGACAAGAAATAATGATGCAGATGCTATTGATCTTTAGTTGCTTTTGCCAAGCGGATCACAAACACTGCAGACTTCAAAGAGTACTTGGACAGTACAGAATTTGACTGTAATTATTTTTATCTGGCTCTTCCTCCCTTCTAGATGTTTCTCTTCTGCCGAATATTTAGTTCAATAAATGCAAAAATTTATCTTACTCTTCATTTTGCTAAATTTTGAAGAGTAGTAGGATGAAGTTTGCTACATATAGAAGGATATTGGCCTGTTTCCAATTAGTAATGTAAGTTCCAAAAGAGATCCCCAGGGGATCTTATCTCACCAGCATGAGAATTGACCACATGTTTTATCTTCTGCTTCCTTTCACTTAACTTGACACTAATTGAACAAGAGGACTTTCATTTTATGTCCAAAAGCTTGATCTCTAATGCTGCTTGAAACTTCAGGCATACTCTATCAGCCTGATCACTTCTGTATGCGTGCTACTTAATCCCTCCTTAACTGTCTTCAGATTGGCAGTAGAATTCCCTATTTGTCCATACTTAGTAGAAACTAGAAGATTGCAATTGCCTGTAGTTTTCTACAGCACTGTTTTAAAGTTTGGGTCATCTTGGCCACCTACCATCCATCTGCTGCCACTTTAAGTGATACACCAGTACTTCAACAGGTCAGTGTTTTAGTTCCTTTAAAGCTCTGAAATGATCCTGATAATTTGCTTGGGTTCCTATTTCATAGGATCCTAAAGTTGTTGAGCTTGAACAGTATTTCAAAAGGTCACCTAGTGCAACATCAGTATTCTCACGATGTGTTAGGCTTGTCTTTGGGAACCTGCCCACACTCTTCAAGACTAGACACTGCAAAGTTAGCTTTTCCGCAACGTCTTTGTTCCACGCAGTGCTCATTTAACATTTGACATACGTACATATACATATATACACATATGTGTATATATATATAATTGTGTATAATTGTTCTTTTTGGCTTACTGGCAAACTTCATATTTCTCACTTTCTTATTCCCCTCCCCTGCCCCCCAGTTGTTATTTTTATAACTTCTATAATAAAAGTTATAAATCATAATTGCTTTTAGCCTACTTTTTTCTTAAAACTTGTCAGACTTTGTTCATTTTCATGCTCCTTATTTGGACAAAATACTTTTGCCTTTTTTTTTTTTGCCTTCTTTAGCATCAAAGC